ATATATATATATATCCTGTAATACACTGCTTGGTCATCGACTGTCTATCACGTCTCGCTTGAACTGGACTGGACTAGACTGGGCTGGGCTGGGCTGGGCTGACTTGGCTTGTTTTGACTAGACAGCCTCACGCGCGGTGGAATACACACTGTATGTAGGTTAATCTACACTATCACATTGTCTACAATAGCGCACTGGGAAACTGCTTTACTTGGTCCCCCGCAAACGTCAAGGGCCGTGAGTCCTCGCTATATGGGACATAGGGGATACAGGGAATGAGAACTTTGGAGCTACCGAGGACGATTAGGTGGATTTTGAATGAAACGAGTGACCTACCTAGGCGGGATGTATAAGGTACACTGGACCTCTCAACCGGCGCGCAAAAGGACTTGATAGCGGAAGGCTGGGAGAGAAGAGAGAAGAGAAACATGTTGATACGGGGAAGTGACGGGCCCTTCGCTACGTTTGGACCAAAAAGGATCGTATTGTCAGAGAGCCAACTGACTAACTAAATAACTAGCTCCAAAGCTCTATCTCTCAACCTTTTTATACCTCGCATACCGAGTTCTTCCGAAAACTCCAGATCCATGTCGCACACGTTTCTTCGTCACAACTCACGGCTTCACCGTGACCCCCAGGGCCTCACACGCCTTCTTCCAGTAGGCAATCCTGTCGTCGTCGATGGTGGTCTGCACGCAGCCGGTGATGAAGGCGTCCTCCCAATTCTTCTGGCCGCCCTGACGGACCAGCTTCTTCTGGGCGTCGGTGCAGTGGGTGCCGTAGTACCACGCCGCGGCGGCGAAGGAGTATTTGTCCGGCTGGACGAGGGCGAGGACCTGGTCGGCCTGGGCGCTCGTGAGGGAGGTCCCTGCCGCTGGGGGGGGCGCGATGGCGGCGACTTTGGCCTGCAGCTCAGGGATCGAGTTGGCGTACTGCTGCACAAAGGTCGGGGACATCATGGAGCGGGTGCCCTGGCCCGGCCGGCCCGGCGCGGGGAAGTGGTTGCGGTTGTACTTGAACTGGCCGCTCTCGTAGACCATCCAGGAGAGCAGCGCGGCCTGTTCGGGCGCCGTGGTGACGTTGTACTTGGCAAAGCCGTCGACGAGGGCCTGCACGACGGGCAGCGACGACACGGCACATTCGTTCGGGTACGTGGCGCCGTCGCACGTGTTGGAGTCGGGGGCCATGTACAGCAGCTGGCGAACGGGGTCGGGGGGTCCAGCGGCGTTGGAATTGGAGTTGGAGTTGTCGCGCCGGTGGTGTCGATGAGCGGAAAAGTTCTTGGGAGACGCCGCAGCCAGAGCGGTGGATGCCACTGCGGCGGTGAACGAGAGAAGGCTAATCAAGGAAATCATCTTTGGGGGGGTTCTAGCACGTGGCTGGGGTCGACGTCTTGGGTCGTTTGTTAGATTCTGCGTAAAGGAAAGGGATATGTGGGGGGTATATTGAACACGGAGGATGAGTGAGGAAAGGCGGTCAAAGTTAGAAAGGAGAGAAGGAGAGAAGACTTCCAAAGCAGTAGGAGCAAATACAAAGAATATGTTGGGGTGACAAGAGGCCAGACGAGCAGAACAAAGGTTTGACAAAAATAGATAAATGGACAGCGAAATAAATGATCAAAATCGAAGAAAATAAAAGACCGCAGTTACAACAAAGACCAACAGACGACAGACGACAGAGGACGACGACAAGGCGGCTACAACGAAAACAAGGCGTCCCAAACAAAGCGTCCACAGCACCTCATCTTCAGATAAACTGTTCCGCAGGCTCAAAAAAACCCGACGAGTTGAACATGAGCTGTGGTGACTAGAATACACAGGCGTTTCATAAACACGAGATCAAGATCCAACGCCGCCGCGAATTGGCTCAGAGACGCCGTCGACTTTCAAACGAGGCTGGCATCAAGTGTTTCATCTTACAACCAATCACAAGTGGCAGACAAGTTCAGCTGAGGCTGTACAACAAAAATCCATATTTCAGTCTCAACATCGAACAAAATTCCATTAATACTTTTTCGCCTTTTCTCCTTTTCCCAAGACCAGACAGGGTATCATTATGTCCATCACCTTTGTCCTTTTACTGTCCAAGTCCCTTCAACCATAAATGCCCAATTCGACAACGCCATCTGTATTGGCTCAAGCAGCAACACCTCTTGACAGACTGATCAGACCTTACTCATCGTCTTCGGCCTCAGCATCCTCATCTTGTCCGTTGTCTTCGCTTTCCATCATCCTGTCGGCATGCTTCTCATCGAGAGTGTACTGGAGGCGGCTAGTGTCGACGTGGTTGCCGTCGGTCGTGTGGCTTTCATCGTCTTCCTGCTTGACCTCCACCTCCTTGTTTGATCTTCTGCTCCTCCTCTGTTGCCGGGGACGCCGACTCGGCGGAGCGGGTTCGAAACCTACCAGCCAGAACTCCCCTTTATTCTTCCCTTCTCTCACAATACCTTCGCTGATAGCCCACTGCTGGAGACCGTCATCAATCACTTCGTCCTCGCTCTTCCGATGGTCCTTTTCAAAGTGTCTACCAACATGTTCCATCCTTTCATCCCAGCCGAGAGACTCTTTGCCGTCGGCAAACTTCTTGCCACAAAATCCACATTTGGACTTTTGAGGCCCCTTGCGGCGGTCAACCCAGCAGCGAGCGCGAATGACTTCAAGCTCTGCCTCAAAGTTGTCTCGATCTTTCTTTGGCACGCTGCTCTCGGCCCTCTTGCTCCCGCTCCAGGGGGCATGCATGCGACGACAGTGCTGGGTGAAGAGGTCTTTGCGATTGAAGTCGTTAAACCCCCTGTGCTGAGTCCGCGCCGCCTTTGGTGAGCATGTGCCCATATCGCACCGGTAGTAACCAAGCTGGATGTGTTGAGAATTGACATGTCGTTTCCACTCATTTTTGTTGCCGAACATGGCGCAGCAACCGTAGTGGTGGAAAGCGCAGGGAAAATGCTTCGAGTCCGATTCGTCTTTGCTGACTGCCAGGGCCTTCTTCTTGGTCTTGGACCGTGACCTGCCACTGTGTGATGTGTCGACGACCTGGGCAGACTTCTGCACACGAGCTTTGGGATCAATGACTGCTGCTGGACGCCGTGGTCCACGCAGAGAGTGGCGACGAGCGGTCCCGCCCTGCCCGCGGGTGGTAGATCCTCTGGGGCTGAAGTCGGGGTCGGTGTCGGTCTCAGTCAACTCAGAGTCCTCCTCTTCGTCTTTCATAAATTCATCATCGTGCACTGGTTGGTCTGGTCCCGAGTCAGGAGGACTAAGGAGCTGTGCCGATAGCTCTATCCCCGCGGGAAAGTCGATCCTGGAGTGGAATGCTTCCTTGGCATCGACCGGCTCGTCGTCTTGTTCTGGATCCGGCGTGACCTGGAGTTGTCTCATGCTGGGGATAGTGTGGGTGGCTGGGACAGGTGTGGAAGGATGGGGAGACATCAAGAGTGGTTGTGAGGTCCAGCTCTGGCTCGCGACTGAAGACGTCGCCAAAGGAGTGGCGTAGAATCCCTGTGGCGAGGGAGCCATGGGAACGATGAGGGAGTTCCGAGTTGCATCTGGACTCAGAGCATAGTCGCTCCCCGACGAATCGCTGTTGCTGGAGAGAGCGAACCCAAAAGGGTCCGTGGGAGACAGATGCCGTTGGTGACGGCCTTGTTCAAATTCGTGACGGAAAAGGCCCAAGCCATCCAGTTGTGGCAGGGCTCTGGGTGCTTCATCCCACATGGGCTGGTGGCTGAAGCCCTGAGCGAATTGGTCGTACGAGATACAGGAGTTTTCAAACCCGCCAGGTCTTGGGCAGTGAGCATTCATGTCATACAGAGGGCAGGAATCAAGGAGGGGATTGACGGTGTGAAATTCTCCGGGGATGGACCAAGACTGTGTGGGAGTGCCATGGTCGTCGGCGTCACAATACCCATAATCTGGGCCCTCGCTCCCAAGCAAATCCTGCCAGTGTGAAGGACGATGCATGGTGCACTTAGCCAGAAGACAAGTGGAGGTTGGCTGCAGACTGCAAGGTCCAGTATACGGAAAAACTGACTTGCGTGATGTTCCACCGTCAGTAGAGGTGGTACTGACAGGCAGAGAAAAAGAGAATGGGTGAGGAGGAAAGTTCATGAGCCACTGGTACCAGGGAGGACGAGCATTTGGAGTATATGAATAAGATCACACATGTGTGGGTGGGCCACCATCGCTCTGTCCCAGCTGATAGACCAAAAAGCTGTCAAGCGAGACGAAAGGGGGGCAGCAACAGCATCACGGAATGAAGGAAAAGCGCATCGACACGAGCGTGCGCCATGAACATGGTCTGGAGGGTGGAGGGACAAGGGAGGAGCCTTCGTTGGCCATCCAGTCAAGGCTAGGACTCCGTCCCTTCCAGGAGTCCCAGGACTGCGCAGAGAGCAGAGCCGCATAAGCCAGTACTAAACCTCTTCTCGACTTGCCAGTGACTTTGACAGGGCGATCAGAAAAGGCAAGCTCGAGTCCTTAGTGCCGGAAACGTCGCAATGTCAATGGACCAGGGCATCAAGAGGGACTGACCGCCTCTCCTGCCATTGGTTGACCGGTGTGTCGCAGAAGTGACCCCCAAGTCTGCCTTTGACGCCTTCGCCTAACGCTGCCCAAATCCCAGGGACACCGAACTCGTGCAACTTGTCGCCCACTGCCACCACCGTTTTCTCGCGGCGAGGCGCCTTGAAGCTGCAGCTTTCCCTTTTGTGGGGAGTAGAGCCTTTAGCCCCCCTGCATGGCCCCGTCACGGCCACAAAACCTCACGAACCACAGACGATACACCATCAAGCCCTTTCTCATCGTGTGGTTGGACAGGTTCACCGTGTGTAGGACTTGCTCTCTGGTATTTTGGTGGAAGAGCCCGATCAGCCCACAGCTGAACACCCTGGAGCGAAAATTTTGTGAAGCCCGTCCCTATTCGGGTAATCGCTTTCTTATTCAGTGAGCGAGAGAAGAGGGGCAGCACCTCGATTGGGAAGGGACCAGACACAATATGATTTAAGCGACAGATCTGGATTCTGAGAAGAGGCGCTGGGATTAGACGAGGTTGCGACCTGGAGTAAAAGAAGACAGGGTGTGGCTCCGCTCGTATTGACCAAGGCATCACAAAAGCCCCTCTGATCCGGATAGGAAGGATGAGGGTCACCCAACTCTGGAGGGTCGGCACGATGGGGCTTCGGGGACGCACCAGACGACAAGACGGGGACCAACAAGGTTGGGGGGAAACTGGTAGCGGCCAGCCACGGGTTCCCAGGGTCAACAGAATAGCCCAAACTCAAAAAGATGCCAGATGATGCAGGGGTGGATGCTAAGAATATGACCGTGGCTTGACAGACACGAGAAGATGGCGCAACAACCCTGACCATTGAGACCATTCTGTGAGAAGTAGTTTTTGTGGCGGTTCTTGCTTTCGGAAAGTCTTGTCAATGGTGGACTTGGATTTCCCTTGCCGGGCATGAAGGAAAGTGTAATGCCAGGTTGGAAGAAGATAATGTCAGTGACGTGTCACCGCCATCTCCCCCAAGTGCATGCCAGGTTGATGCTGGAAGACGGCTGGCAGGGAGTGGAACTAGACCTAGCTCGTGAAGGTGTAGGCGAGCAAAAAGGCGATGTAGTGCATGTCTTCGAACAAGGATGAGGAGGAGGAGTTGGTGGTGGTGGTGGACGAAGAGGTTCCAGAGGGACCCAAAGGCGCGTCACAAGCTACTGGCGCAAACGGGAGGGCTAGCTATTGGCACTGTCCTTGCCACCGAGTCATCGTGTCCAGATATGCAGGGGTTTCAGTCTCGCAGGGTGAGTGAGGGAGGGCATCTGGCGGAGCTAGACATGCAGCTTGATGTTTTGTTACTTTAAGGGCAAGCCAGCCATGGGGGCGGATCGTCATCCAGGGCGGCGGGCGCAGGCAACACCGCAGCACAGTAGCACCGTCGCACGCGCAGGACCGATCTTCCTAGCTAAAGCATGAAATGCGAAGCATCTGATAAGAGGATGTTTGTATGCCTTGTCGGAGACGGGATTTGCCAGCAGCCGCCGAGTGAGTGGGTGAGAGAGTGCGCCGTGTACTCCGTACCAAAGTGAAACTCCAAAGTGGTCGGGCACCGGGTCGAATGACACCTCCCCGGGTTGAGAGGGTGGCAAATATCAGAACGAGAAGGAGGGAAACGGTCAGGGAACAAAAGTGCGTGGTCGAGGCGACAGAGTTGCTTGGGTTTGAGTGTGAGTCAGTGGGTCGACTTTGAGGTTTGAGGGTCTGGCAGTCTGGATAGAGTCAACCACGCGCTCACAAGGTCGATGGGTCAACGAATACCTACACAAAGAGTTGAGTCCAGGTACCAGTTTGTACTGAAGGCGACAGGCAGGGTCTACTAGTAGTGGATACGGAGGTGGAGACCAGCACATTTTTGGACGCCTGGAGGGGATGGAAGCTCTGGGAAGACGGGGTCGTAGATTAGCGGAGGCATCGTCACAATGACAAAGAAGCAACAGCAACAACATCACCAGCACTAAGCACCTCCGACCTGTTGATGAGCAATGGAAAGCCACAGGCGCCCGAAATGGAGTAACTATTGTACTTCGTATAGTTAAGATCCTTACCTGTGGCTCTCGGCCTCCAGAGTAGGTAGGTAGCTCACCAGAGGCTAACCAGATAGGTGGACCCCCCTGGGATCCGCCCCCATGATGCCCAAAGTTCTCGAACCAGAGTCAAGTTCCCCAAGCGAAAGCCCCGGTGGCCCTTCGACTGCGTTATGTGAGCGCCCGTTTCCACTATTTCTCGTTTCTACTCGTGGCCGCCAAAAGCTACCTAAGCAAACGAGTAAAAAAGCAAAAAACTCAATGGAAAATGCTCCCCCCTCGTGGGTCTCGGTCCGGATCATGGCTTTCCCCTCCCCTGCTTTCCCCTTTGCTTTTCTTTTCTTCGGCCTCTGGCATCCACCTGGAAGTTCCCGCAGCGAATGGGTGGAAAGGACCACACTGCTTCTTGTACTTTGTCCAGGTCTACATACGAGCACCGCGGAGCAGTCACTGCACCATTATTGACACATGCTCTCTCTTCCCCTAAGAAATAATTACCCATCTAGGAAGTTTTCGCAAACATCTAAGCTGACAGACTAAAAGCTTGTGGCCTGGTGGCCTGGTGGCCCTTTGCCTGGGAGGTGCGCTACTTGGTACAGAGTTTTTTTTGGCTCTTTTCGCCCATGATCGACGACGCAAGCACGTATTCTCTCTCTCTGTCATCACTGTGAATTGCCAGCCACTTTGAGCCAATCTAGCCCCCAACAAGTGAAGTTTGTTTTCTGTTCTGACCATACAATCGTATTGTGCTGATCATCTCATGCTCGCATCGTCATATGGTGAGGTGTCACCACTATCTCATGTCCCGTTTGATCGTCCCCCCCAATGGTCCGATCAAAAACCCCGACAGCACCAGACTGTAAACTGATGCCTGGTGTCCACTTGGAAGAATGTCCACAAGGTCCTCGGATGCTGCAGCATTAGCGTATCGCCCTCAGTCCTCGCCTACAAGAAATAGATAGCAACGAATTGTTACCGATTCCAATCGTCTGCCCTTATCTGTCCTTGCTCCCTGGTCTGCCGTTCCAGCGACGCCTCCTCTCCAGAACTTCGGACCTGCCATCCGCCGTTGCTACGAAGTACGGTCCCTCGTCCCTTCTGATTGATCAACCGTACTGCGAGACATCTCAACATTTATTGCGGTGGCGTCTCTCGACTCGGACACCAGCAAAGGAAGAGGAGGAACGGTGGTATGACCCCCACAATTGGTTGCGACTATCAAAGCCGCCAGCTCTGCTAGTCTGGAATTCCAATTCCCTTGTTCCTGGTCATTCGGCTGTCCTGGGTCTTCAGCTCTTCCGAATAATAACATGGGAATGGAGATTGCAGGATTTGAGCGTTGGCGTGGCCGAGAACCTCGACGCTTCCGCAACGATAGCGTCGGCCCAGACTTTCGCCAGTCATCCCCTCTCCCCCCATGAAGTCAATCACTATTCTTGTTTCTCCGTCACCACTTTGCTGATGGCGCTTAGCCAAAAGATCTCTCGATAACCCACGTGGTCACCCTTGTCTAGCTGAAGCCTCTTTTCTAGGTACCTCCCCCAGAACCGAAAGGGTCCTCCTCCAAGCCAGCCACCCAAGAGTCGGTCATGTCTACCGAGTACCCTGTCCCCTGTCTGCCCCTTGGATACCTTCGCGGCCTCGGATTCCTTTGAAAAAAAAGTGCACCAAAAAGAAAGTGAACACTGAATAGGCTGTAGCATCTTTGTTGTTCGTCCAAAGCTCAAGTTTTTACGTCAACTGTTTCAATTCGCCACTAGAATGAGCCAGGTCACAACCTTCTTCTCAATCACCCTCCCCTGCGCTTCCGCCCAGTTTGGATTGCAGGTCTCCTTTGGACCAACAGCTTCCTTCACCTTCACCAATCCGCTCCTCATGGCGTTTCGCTCTGCGTGAGCCATCTGATACAGCTTCCTGTTTGAGCCTTGCTCTCGCGGTGTTTTGCATCCGTCCCTTACTAATCCGGACTCGCCCGAGTCTAGATCATGTTCCTGGGCTGCTTCCCCGACTTACGCCTATTTGGTCAAAGCTGGAGCCCTTTTCGGTGGGGAGCACAATAATACTTCTCCCATAGCGCATCGCCGTGTTGAATTTTGCCAGACACACGCAACAAACGCTGCGCATCATGATACCTATTTCGTCCTGAGTCGCAGACTCCCTTCGCTTCCTGACTGCGAACCTTTTCCGTTACTGGGAAATCTCGCGCACTCGGACCCTCATCCCACCATTGTCATACCAGTCGTAGTCTTTCTTGGGTCTGGGATCGTGCCTCTCAATCACCGTCACTTCATCACCGGGTCTCAGGATTCCAGACCCCGATTGCTCGTCTTCCCGGGAGCGCGAGCGGGACCGTCGTCTTCGGCCTCTGCGGACACGACCTTGCCGATTCTCCTCATCACCGCGTTCAGGCTCACTTATGTATCCCAAAGACGACGAACGAACAGGCGGCGGACTAGGGGCATGTAGCCCTTGATGGCTATCCTCTTCCTGGCTTTCGTCTACATTACCCAGTCAGCAACAGAAGTTGACTAAAGTGCAGCCTCCAATTTGATGCTCTTACCTTCATACTCATGTGACATACGCCTGTTGTGATAGCGCTGAGCTGATCTAGATCGCAAGCGTATGTGTTCGTGGTGATCACTTGCACGATTGTTCTCCGAAGCATCCACACTCCGTGAGCGATGGCTGGAATAGTGGATAGGTACAGACACGTATCTGCTCCCGAAAGATGTTGGTCCACGTTGAGGAGAATATCTGTCCCGAGAGCGAGTATGTGGTGTTCCCGCAAAATAGTGCTGTTGTCTTGCTGCCCGATCTTCAATTGGTGGTGTCCCAACAAAAGGGTCTGAGTATTGTCTTCTGAGAATTCTTGGACCCGGTGTTGGCTGTCTTGAGTGTGAACGCTGTCTCCTCGCTGCCTCATCTTCGTAAACCCTGCCCTCGAAACCTTCATAGTTCTGCCTCCGTCCTCCACGATCGCCATCGTCAAAGGATCGCTCGCCAAGGGGAGAAAGGTGAAGTCGTTGAGTGTGCCTGACCAGGCCTCTATCTGCGGCTTCGCGACGCTGATATCTCCGTTGGCCGCTGCCATATGGCTCTTCTTCCAGACTCGACGAGGTCGAGTTGTTATAGGACGGAACTCTGTAGGGTTGATGGTCATAGTCGATTAGCTTGGTGCGACCCCTTGATCGAGCTCGACTTCGTGATCGGTGTCTCTGTGATTGGTAGGTCGACGAGCTTCGGCGAGGCAGGGTACGCGGCCGGTGGCGTCGTGGCCTAGGCGAAGGAACACTGTCTGAAGTATCACCATCTTCACTGTCCGTGGCCTCCTTTCTGCATTTTTGACAGATCGTTTTGCCTGGAAGTTGTCCTGGTTGGATGGGGTGCTTGTAATGATAGCGAGCAGACCGGTATCGACCACAGATCTCACACTTATATCTCACATCCCTTAGTGTAGCTGCCGGGCCCTGGAGCGGTACCTGAGGTCCGTAGGATTGGGTCTGTGAAGATCCTGTAATTGCATGTATTCCTGTGGGCATGCCTGGTGGCATACCTGGTGGGCCAGCTAGGAACGGCTGAGGCTGAGACACAAACGGCAAGGGTGGTGGGAAAACGGTCGCTGGCTGAGGTCCCATAGGATGAGGCGGTATTGATCCGATTGGGAAGATGCCTGGTGGGAGAGCTGCTGGGATGAACGGTACCTGTGTATTCATTGCATGTTCTTGACCATTATTTTTGTCCCTGGTGTCTGACTGAATTTGGCCATGCTGGTGTGGAAGTAGGTACATAGTGACGGGCTGCGGTTGAGCCTGAGAGGTAGTAGCCATTGGAGGAGCAGGATGAGAGCCAGAAGTCGCAGGAGGATTGAGTGAAGTGGGCGCAGGCAGCGCAAGGGGAGTGTCAGTTGCAGTGACGCACCGAACGTGATTGTCTTGCCGTGAGTCCCTAAGTGAGAAGAGTGAGCGAGTGCTTCGGCGGAGCAATGCCTGAGAAAGAAGTTCTCTTGCGGAGGGCATATTTGACTTCTTTCTGACAAAGTAAGCACGACCGTCTGGACCGCGCTCGATCCAGGTTGAATGGGTCTTCATAGTGAGCTCAGGTAATGATAAAGTAATGTGGTTGCGCTCGTGAGAGGATGTGACTCTGAGCTGAGAGGGCAGGTGCACACTAACCTTGGGGGAGCATTGACATCGTTCACAAACCCAAAATAGGCATCATATGAAGGGTAGTAGGTGCGTGAATTACCAGGCATACAGTAGTACGAGCCGTATGGTGCTTGCCACATGATGGTGCGGTAGAATCGAGAACTCTGGTTCAATTGATGATTGCAGAGGCAAACAATGGCCGTCACCTTTACGTATTCCACAATTTCCGCCAGAACGCCATTTCAAAGGTGAAGGGAAGAAGATATTGGATCTTTGACGTTCTGAACAATCAAGACCAGCCAGGAGGACTATAGTCCGAGTACTAGGAAACAATAAGAGGAGGGAAGGTGAGGAAACAAGCCTTGGACTGCATGGCGATGGTATGCGCAGGGCAAGGGAAAAGCAAATACGAGCCACTCTTCACTTGTACCTTGTGGTTCGTGGCTCTAACAGTTGCCTGTGGAGAACTGTGATAACAGCAGGTGAAGTGAGGATGGTGGCCTGCTGCCATAGAGCGAGCCTTGTGGTAAGTTTCTAATGGACGTCCTCCTCTTCGTCTTCTCCTCTCCTTCCCTCCCTCGGCACGCACCAATCACATCGTGTAGTCCTCTTTACAAGAATCAAGCCGGAAAGGAGAATACTGCGACATGAGGCTCTTCTGATCTGTTTGGCCTCGGTTCAACTGGGTACTCGACGGTAGGGGTATAGTCTAAGCTGGACGGTCTAATTAGACATTTCCATGGATCATATTCATCTCATGCAATATTCATTGCCATGTGAAGTGGGCAATAGGTTGATTTGCTGCTCTTCTCAAGCACAACAGCGAATGTCGTTGCTTGAAGCCTTGTGAGTAACGATCCGAGCCTCGTCATAATTAGCGTGCCAAGTCGTCAACACGGGAAGGTACTTGGGAAGGAGTGTCACAAAATGTCGAATCTCCCCATGTTAAAATACATCGTACGGGATATATTCAGGCGTGAAGAGCGAGAGGAAGGCTGTGATAGAATAAGGATTGCAAGTACCTCGTACAACAGGTTCGTACAGTAGGTCAGGCAGAAGGGTCCTTGAACACGCAACACACGTAAATGGGGCGTCGTCATCGTGCATCTGGGGCTCCCATTTCTGATTGGCGGGTTCAAGAATTCCTGTTTGTTGAGCCTGCACCCGCTTGTAGGCAACTATTGTGCGAAACCTGCTACTGACTTCGAATCGCTCTATTGAAATCCAAAGGACGACAGACACCCAAATATCTCGAGACCGGCCACCTCATTCTACTCTCCATATCCTGAAATGTGGTTGTCACGGTGTACTTGACGCAAATGACTCCGCATTGAAAATCCCCGATCACTTCGAACCTCACCATGGCTCCATTCAGTGAAGCCGACACCAAGATCTACCGCAGAGATGTGGCTTCAGGCGGCCGAGCCCTGTCTGCGGCAGAACGTGAGAAGCTTTTGCAACGATATCTTCCTACACCACCCTCAGAATCTTCGCAGAAAGATTCACAAACGCCCAGTACCTCCCAACGCTCGAAAACAAGAGGGCACAGGAGAAGAGTGCGGCCTTTCCTGAAGTCGAAGTTGCATTTTTTAATCTTCTTCCTCATACAACTCGTTTTTGGCATATACATTCGATTGCGCCAGATCTACCACGCCACCGTTTACCGTCTACTCGGCATCAGGCACCATCACCACCGCACCCCAGAATATATACAGAAAGATGTCAAGAACCTCGACCGCATACCTGAGCACCTCAGTGTGATATTGAAGTTCAAGTCAGAGGAAGATGGTGGACTAGAAGCATTAATGGATGAGGTTGCAGAGCTCTGTGCTTGGTCCGCAGCTGCTGGAATCCCCCTGCTGAGTGTCTACGAAAAGTCGGGGATATTGAAGACGTACATGGTGTCTTTGCAAGAGCTGGTGAAGCAGAGACTTTCGTCTTACTTCGGTGCCCCCCCAGCGGCGCCGACTCTGAGAGTGTTTGCTCCCAACCATCCCTCCATGAACCTGTCGCGGACGCCCTCACCGCTACTTACAGCACAATCAGTTCCCGATGGAATTGAAGACTCGCGCGCCGACACGCGGCCACCCCATCTGGACCTTCTCCTGCTGTCCGCCACAGACGGACGAGACACACTGGTCGACTTGACCAGGACCCTAGCCGAGATGGCCCAAGCTCAAAAGTTGCGCCCCAAGGACATAACCTCCAATCTCATCAACACCGAAATCAGCGCGACGACCGCGATCCCGAACTCGAAGCTCGCGGGCGCCGAGCGACCTGCTGGGAAAGAGGTCGAAGCTGGCGAACCAGACCTTGTCATCGTGTTCGGCCCAGTTGTGAAGCTGGACGGATACCCACCGTGGCAGATCCGGCTAAGCGAGATCTTCTGCGTGGGCGACTCGGGGGGTGATGTTTCTGGCAGCGGCAGCACGAGGGTTGAGTATCAGGCCTTCCTCAGAGCGCTGTGGAAATACGCCGGGGCAAATTTCAATTTTGGGAGATGACAGATTTGTACACATTTACGGGACAACCGATGGCGATGGGCATCGAGCCGTTAGCCGCGCCCATGCACAGACAAAATCATATAAGATTTCCTGAAGCTCTTGCGAAAACCGGCTATTATACAGCGAGAAAAGATACCCTGCAATGAATACCTGCGAACTCGCCCAATCCCCTGATGTGATTCCATGTTACCTGTGTCCTCCTGTTTCCGTCCAACGACCCAGATGACACGCGCAATCGGCTTTTTCATGCTCGTTTGGTCCTACCTCGTCCAGAACCTCCCAAAAAGGGAGGAGATGACGGCTTTTGCCAATTAAACATTCCAGATACAGAGCTCGGATATAGCAATCGACGGAGTCGAGGGCATGTCGAAGTGACTGGCTGTAAGTGATTGATGGTAATGGTGATGGTGGTATGATCGTATACATCTATCATGTGTCAGCTGGGGCCTCCTGCCGTGCCACAGCGGGGTAGAGGTCGCGCCTCTCAGACTCACTCTGACTTGTTCGTAGTTTGGAGATATGTAAGCCGCCTGTTTGGACCTCCGGCTTCGATCTGGCATGTCGGAGGCTAAAGGTAGACACTGCTGACAATGCGACCTTGTCCTCTTCCCAACCCTGTAACGTTCTTTCAGATATACCTGCTTCAAGTATCTGTTTGAGTTACAGGCTCTTTCATGGTGTCGAAGTTCCTGAATAGTCGAAGAGGAGAACGTCACGTTGTGCAATCCAACACATTCAGAAGGAATTTGTAACCTCCAACTCCATGCTTTAATAGGATGAAACACCCTCATGTCCTGCAAAACTTTAGTCATCGTAATCATCATCGTAGCCGGTATAAGTTTCCCACATCTCATCGTTTCGATTCGAGTGAACGAGGGAATGCATGACGCGCTCATAAGTCCACATTGTGACGGCTGATGCTGGCGCGGCCTACATTTCAGTCAGCCACTGACGGCAGACCCTGTGAGAGAGAAAATACTTGCCTTGATCAAGCTGACAGTCAGTCCTCGATACCAACCTCGATAGCCTTCCTTAGCCCAAATTGTGGTGAGTGCACGAATAACGCCCGTATATTCGGGAATGTTCGTATGAATATACCTGCTCCTCGTCGGGCCCTGCACCTGCAGTCGCTTCCTGACCAGGTCCAGAGGGAAGACAGCGGTCTTGGCAAAGATACTGGCAAATACACCAGCAGTGGCATCGCCGGAGCCGAATGGTAAGGTCTTGCCCCCAATGTACTGATGTAGGAACTCGTAGCTCATGAAGAAGAGGCCCATGTAAGGGACTATCTGGCCTAGCGCAGCACTGAGGCCGCGGAAGAAGCCGCTAGGTCCCTCGCGGCGGATAATGTCTTGAACAGAATTGGCGAGTCCTGTATAGACCTTTTGCGGACCCTGCGCAGCGAACCGTGTCCGGAGAAGATCCAATGGATACGTAATTGAAGTTGCGGCGGCGCCAGCTCCTGCTCCGCTGATGAACGATTCAATCGATGGCGGCGGACGTGTCGGAAGCATAGCCTGAGCTTGGGTAATGGAGCGATAGGCCGTAAACTGGACGCCGCCATATGTGATGTACATGAGCTCGGCGGGGATATTGCCCTTCCACAGCGCGCGGATACCCTCATCTCTCACGATTGCGCGCAAAGTCGAAAACACACCCTTGTAAATTGGGCCTTTGATACCATCGCAAGATAGCGGATCAGAGAGTGAGTGTGGCTGAAGCTGAAGTCGAATTTTGACCACGTCTAATGGAGCGATGACGAATCTGGACACGAGGCCTGCGACACCACCGGCTATAACGACTTGCTGTCTCGTGCCCTGGTACAGAAGAGAGAAGATAAGCAAATCCAATCAAATGAAAGAGAAGCTTCTAAACATAAGGATACGTTGGATGGACTTACCTCGTCCTTAAGACGCTCGATCTCCTTCGACATGCGCCCTGGACTGGCTCACCGCAAGCCGCTCCACCGGTGGTGAGGTGTTTGTGGTGACAAGATTGCGGTGGTTGTGGGAGAGAGAATCAAAGAAGCAAGAGGAATGGCGATGACATCGTTTATGCGTTTATGCGATTATCGACTGGTGCCAGTCATGCCCGCGTCACCGGGCGCTTTTCGCGTTGGAGAAGCTATTTGGCGAGCAGTGGTGTTGCGCACGTGAGTTCGCGTATCCTTTTGATTGTAGAATACAAGATGGTTAGGTGAGGTTTCACGACATCGCCAGTCTTGCCATGATTGGTATTTTTATGTAAAGCGATTCTAGGATCTAATTCAGATAGGATTCGTTGTTCGAAAGGAAAGCACCATTTTCATGAATTGGTCGTTGTAGGAGGGTCGAAGAGAAAGGGTGGGGATGGGTTTGGAGCGCGTCATGAGTTCTACTTGTGAAGATTTAAACAACGTCCGACTTCACACATCGTGGTAAATTCACCGCTTGGTGACGAGTCGCCGCCACCCTCTTGTTCAAACTTTCGTCGTTGTATCATCAAAGATGTTTTCCGTTACTCCGGTGGCGCATTTGATCCCACAAAGATGTTTCGCAACCCTCGAGAGAATGCATCTCTCCCGATAGACGAGCGAGTCCTTCCCTACCTTGGCCGGCCTCCAACCCCTCCCCCTGCGGGCCCAAAAAAGAGTCCCTACTTCTCCTTACCCGCCCAGTACGCTCAAGAGGTTGCAGACCACGCCTCCAAGAAAAAGAGATCCCCCATGTCCAAGGCTTCCACATCCGGTCGTCAACCCTCCTCAAAAACTTCTGTGGCAAAGAGAAACGGGTCAGGTCAGAATCAAACCATACTCAACTTCTTCGCAAAGTCAGACAAGAATGATATCAACGGCGCGGCTACGAGCGCTCCTCCTCCCTTGTTCTTCAAGGATGTGCAGTCTACGATTGAGACGCAGGAATTAGAGGAGAACGAGGCCCGATTTCACGAAAATGGCGGGTCCGTCAAGAAGAGGCGAATTCATGATGATGATGAGGAGAACTTCGAGGACCTTGTTCGCACCCCCTCACCTGGACCTGAGAGTGGTGCTGGTGAAACCAGGATGGAGCAGAACTTACACAGTGGGAATGCAGAGCCAGTGAAGCCACCCAAGAAGTACAGAGGTGGATTCCTGGATGACTCAAGTGACGAGGAAGATATTGCCTGGACTGCGGCCATCAATAGCGCTGCCAATGTCGCCGATACCACGGAGCAAGTAGGAGACACTAGCAACTTGGAGTCTGGGAGCACCATTGACGTCGATATAGGACCCAGGACCACAAGAAACGTCTCCCACCTGTTTGACTCGGATCCTGTCTCCAGGAAAACCAATGCCACCGACCAAGATAGGTATGAAGATTCGGCAATCCCTAGGAGAGATGTCCCACACTTGACACGTGAAGAAACAAGTGTTTTCGAGCCTGGAGATTTCGGAGATGATGAATTTGAGAATGATGAATTCTTCGAAGGAGGGGAAGAATACATGGAACGCAAGTGGATGGAGGAGCAACGGGAGATGGGGATGGACTTTGACAACGAGGACTCGAAGTCAGAGACTGAGAGCGTCAGAACGCCACGAAGCGTTGTCGACGATGACGTTCAAGTTGATGCCGAGGAAGCTGGTTGCATTTCAGTCTGCCCAATATGTACCGGGAACTTGAGAGGACTCTCCGAAAACCAGGCATCGGCACATGTCAATGCCTGTCTTGATGGTAATGCTGAACCACTTCCAGAAGCACACGATTCTCGATCTGCAAACGAAACTCGCATGTCCACGGACGTTGGTGAAGTGGCTGATGTGCCAAAGCGGTTCCAGCGTGCGGCAGTTGCTCGTCCTGCCCAATCCAACCCTTTTGCTGCTTCGAAAAATGGGAAGGGAAGTTCTGCCTTTGCTAGGCTCATGTCTGGCCATGCAGAAGACGCTGCTTGGGCTGAGGCTGCTGCCCACGAAGCTCGATCTCGTGGGAAACCAGCCTATCAACGTACCTGCCCCTTCTACAAGATCATGCCTGGCTTTTACATCTGTGTCGACGCCTTTCGGTATGGCAAAGTTGAGAATCAAAACGCCTACTTTCTCAGTCATTTCCACAGTGATCATTACATCGGCCTCACCTCTTCATGGTGCCACGGGCCTATTTACGCCAGCAAAGTTACCTGCAATCTAATGGTTCAGCAGCTGAAAGTCGATCCCAAATGGATAGTTCCACTAGAATTCGAGAAGAAGGTCGAGGTGCCGAATACAAAGGGGGTCTTCGTCACCATGATTCCTGCCAACCACTGCCCTGGGTCGTCGCTCTACCTGTTTGAAAAAATCACGGGTAAGAACAAAGATGGATCTCCAAAGCTAACCCGTATCCTTCATTGTGGGGACTTTCGGGCGTGTCCAGCACATGTTGCTCATCCTCTCCTGCGTCCTGATGTTATCGACAGCGTCACCGGCTTAACCAAGCAACAAGTCATCGACACCTGCTACCTGGACACAACCTATTTGACTCCCAAGTACGCTTTTCCAAGCCAACATGATGTCATTGATGCCTGTGCTCAGATGTGTGTCAGTCTGTCCAAGGAGATTGTGGACGACAGTGACGATTGGGAGAAAGTTAAAGCCAACCGCGCCGGTAGTGCGATGAAGAAGTTCCTTGAACAGGGTGAGGCCAGCATCGTGAGGCCGGATGATGAGGAGGCAGAGAGGAAACCGAAACTACGAGGACGTCTGTTAGTTGTCATCGGCACCTATTCGATCGGCAAGGAGCGAATCTGCCTAGGAATCGCCAAAGCTCTGAACTCCAAGATCTATGCTCCGCCCTCGAAGATGCGCATCTGTTTGTGCCTCGAAGATCCTGAATTGAATGCCAGACTAACGAAGAACCCACTCGAGGCACAGGTTCACATGCAGACATTGATGGAGATCCGAGCCGAAACACTTCACGACTATATGATGACTTACAAAGGTCATTTTGCTCGCGTGGTCGGTTTCCGACCAACGGGCTGGTCTTACCGGCCCCCAACATCACGCTTCACTGAGAACCCGGCCGTCAGTACTGTGCTGCATTCCGATGGGTGGAAAACACGATATACTATGCGCGACCTGGCTCCTCAACGTGGAAGCACAAGGGAGTCGAACTGCTTTGGAGTGCCTTACTCTGAGCATAGTTCCTTCCGGGAGCTGACCATGTTCTGCTGCGCTCTCAGGATCAACCGCATTGTTCCGACGGTTAACGTGGGAAGTGCGAGGTCCAGAGAGAAAATGAAGGCATGGATCGAAAAGTGGGAGGCTGAAAAGAGGAAAAATGGATTGTTTACAGTCCAGGCAGGGGCTGAGGGATGGGGAAGTGGGGATGGGAAGCTGAGCTATGGAGTGTAGTCGTGCGATCCATGATACCATGTCGATGCACAGATGAGTGTCATGAGTTGTCACGCAGACCCTGATGGCCGTTCTTGCGGACCTGAGATGGTGCGTAGGAGGGCAAGGCTGTTGTCATTGTATCTCGTTCGAGCATCCATGCATAAGGGGGGAGCTATCAAGTCCAAGTCGGTGGTTTGGAAGAAGTCGGCGACCAGCCAACACCCATACCCATGCTCCAGCATTGATCTCGTCCAATACAATCATTTGTAAGTCAATAATTTTCCATGGCCACATCTGAATCGTGCACTGGAACCAGCAAGTGACTCCCTCGGGGCGATGACCTGTCGTTTTCTTCGAAGGTCGTTTGCCACATCCGGGAGAATGTTCTCAGCATGCTGCAGACCATGAAATGGCACCTTCACGCATCTCAATCAGAGCAATACAACCCATCTCTACACCGCCACCGTTGCTGCGAGCCATCTAGCTCTACCATATTTCGCAACGCGGTGTCGATGGGACATGCTTTCACAAGCCATTTTGGTTCCATTCAGTGCCCATGGTAATGTTATTCGCAGCTCATTTTGCCTTGTCGCCATTTTTTCTAAGTCCCTTTTCCCTTCTGACTCATTGCTTCTCTGCGACAAGCATCCTCCAAAAGGCCTCTGTCGACCTTATCAGGTGGCAAGTGTACATATCTTACCACCGAGCCTCTTATAAAGATGTTCTTCACGGAAGACAAATGAGGGTATTTCAATTCATCCAGCACTGTGATGTCGTCGAGTTTGATGTTTAGGTATTGATCGACGGACTTTAACGTGCCACGGATGGAAATGTCGTTTTTCAGTTCGACCGTGACGGTCTGCTGGGTCAGGGTTTTGAAGAAGCTGTTCGCTGGTCAGTGCAAGCCATGAGAGCGCACTGAGGGTTAGGATAGGGTACCTGAAGAACAGCATGGTGGGTGGCTAATAAGCGGTGCGCCAGCAATTTCGTTCAATGCTGCGCCTGGAATTCAACTTGCGCTCGTCGCGATTCAAGAATACGACCACTCACAACTGTCCACCCCTTCGTCAGAGCATCATCCCATACATAGTGTGGTAGAGACATGGTTCCGCAGCGGAAACAATGCCAAGGAATTCGGAGGAAGTGCGGCCGTGGCCTTTTTGGCCCGCAGAACTTTCTAGGGTGAAGTATAAGAATTAAAAGCGCAACCATTCTCCTCATCTTGGTTCTGGTACAGATTTGCCAACCTTATCCAGGCTTTGCTCCACTGATAGACCGGTTTGATATTCACTCGTTTCATTGGATTCTCGTCTGTGAGAACTGGGCCACCTTCATTGCGAGTGGCTCGGCAACGGTCCGCTCGCTGGCCAGATGTGACACCATCACAATGTCAAGGTTTCCCGGTTGGCTCGACCCAGCATGTGGCTATGATGTCGATGCCCGCATGGGCAAGCAATGACATCGATGATCTGATTCATCGACTCCTTCATTTCCCTGCCACCCACTCGCGATCTTGACTCGAGTTTCTCCACGATCAGCAGGCGCTTCAACGACGGAAGGCAAAATCGAGCCAATGATGAGTGCAGCGCAAAATTGCCTTGGGGGAAAATTCCAGGTCTGTCATTGTCCGCAGCGACATGTGCCTTGTACTGTTTATGGGACAAACCTCGCCTTGTAGCGATATACAAGAGTCCATTCCTTTCACCTTGTCCCCGTTCTCTCGTTCACCTAGTTTGCCATTGCAGCTTTGAAATCTCGAGGCAGTTCTATTGTTAGCAAGCACTTGCACATCTTTGGTTGGATCTGTTGCTGGATCTCGATGACATCAACAATCCACATACCCACAGCGAGCGATCATTTCATGAATTTAGAGATTCCAGATGTCACAGACCCAGCTACGGAGTCGCGCCCATGCAGCCGTCGAGTACGAGCTACAAGCTCAAAAGCTTTCCCTCGAACCCTCGTCACAGACAAGTGACGATGTCGACATCGACAAGCCTGGTCATGCCGTTGAAGCAAAGTTCATTACCCCCCTGGACCCGGTCATCGAGACCGTAGATGGCAACAGACTACCAGCCGTCCCCGTCCAAGAAGCACACAAGATCAACTTGTTGAAGAACCGTTGTGAGGGCCGAGCGTACCGGCCAGGACGACCGCGCGGCTTGAGCCGATTTGACAGGCAGAGGGCTGGGCCTGGGAAGGTCGACCGGAACGAGTTGATGAAAGATGACCAGGAGAGCGAATCCAGCCGACTAGACGAAGCAATCCCGGTCCTTCATACACACCCGCTATTTCCTCCTTTGCCCCTTTATGGCCCTCCGTCACTTCTACGAAACCTCCAATGTGCAGTACTTCGAACGACATCAGCTGTGCTCTCCACGGCCTTTCTTACCGTCATTGTTCTCGGGGCGTTATTTACGTCAATACCTCACTTTGTGAACTATGCCTGGTTGTGGCTTACCTTTCGAGATCCTTATAAGAGCAGGCCATTCCATGACGAGGAAAAAAGACGTTCGCTTATACGCCAGAAACAAGATAAGGAATGGGAGAGGCGCACGACGAAACAGGATGCAACTGCTCAGAATGGTGCAATCAAGCCAGCTGCTTCGTCACAGGAGTCGTTGATGCCGCTCGAAGGGGGACCTGACAAACTAGTCTGCGACATCAGGTACTATGCACGTCGAGTCGGTCTAGATGCCGAAGAATTCAGAGTGCAGACAGAAGACGGGTTTGTTTTATCATTATGGCATATCTACAACCCTGCAGAGTACACACCTCGTCCCATTGCGGAGCGACAACCAGACGAGCCTACCGTTTTCACAAGTTCCAAAGAAAATTTCCAGCAACACATTCAGACGCAGTACTGCGACGGCAACAGAAGATACCCCGTCCTACTAGTTCATGGGCTTCTACAGAGCGCAGGTGCTTATTGTGCCAATGACGACGACAGTTTGGCTTTTTTTCTCTGTAAGTCTGGGTACGATGTATGGTTAGGAAACAATCGTTGCGGATTCAACCCCGAGCATAGCCTGCTAGAGTATCACGATCCACGGATGTGGGCATGGAATATTCGGCAGATGGGGGTGATGGACCTTCCTGCATTCATGTCCCGAGTTCTGGAAGAAACAGGATTTGAGAAGCTGGGGCTAGTGTGTCACAGTCAAGGCACTACAGAAGCATTCGTGGCTTTGGCAAAAGAGCAGCGACCAGATCTGGGTGACAAAATCAGTGTCTTCTGCGCTCTCGCCCCTGCGGTTTATGCAGGCCCCTTGATTGGCAAGATGTATTTCAAGTTCATGCGGGTTATCTCACCGTCGATGTTCAGGGTGTTTTTCGGCATTCACAGCTTCATCCCCTTGATGATGACCATGCACCGTACACTTCCTGGCAAGATCTATGGTGCTCTAGGCTACCGGGTTTTCTCGTTCCTGTTTGATTGGACAGACAGGCGATGGGATCGAGGACTTCGGAACCGGCTCTTTCAATTCTCGCCCGTTTATGTGAGTGCGGAGAGCATGAGGTGGTGGCTGGGTCGAGAATGCTTTGCGACGCAAAAGTGCATTCTAGCCACGCGGGAAGAGGGACAAACAGAAGAGGAGGATGACGGAGACGAAAGCTCTGAGCCTGCTGCGTCCGATGGAGAGGATCGAGGCAGAACCGCGTGGTATGACGAACATGTGCCTCCCCTGGCACTCTGGGTTGCTGGAAGTGACGATCTGGTGGATGGTCGGAGACTTTTACGGCGATTCGAGCGTGGGCGCGAACCATTCGTGCAGGTGGTCCACAGCAAGGTGATTGAGGAATATGAACATCTCGATGTGCTTTGGGCAATGGATGCTGTGGAGCAGGTGGGCAACGAAGTTCGTGAGGTGCTTTGGAAGACGATGCCAGAGGAGGCAAGACGGATATGCAGAGAGATATCTGGTGTCGTGGATGATGGGGGAGGGGATCGTCAAACAGGTGACTGTCTAAAGTAATTGGAGGCGAGGGGGAGACCGTTGATGTCCGTTGCCAGAAGCAAATTACAAGGAGCACGAAGGAGATACATCATAGAAAGATATCCCTGTCACACGCTATAGTGATAGGGAGAATGATATATACAGAAACAACATACAAGGCACAAACCAATGGTTGTAGCTGCTCAAAAAGGCGGGAGGTTGGCGAAACCTGGAGATGAACGTACTTGTAGGTCAACACTCGAAGTCCGAATTGGGTAGGGCGATGCGGCATACCCATGAAATATCATGGATAGCTTCCACTGATGGTGCAGCCCTGATTGCTAGGAGCCGACCGACGTGGCCGCGGGGCATGGTACAAGCGAAGAAGCGAAATTCAGGTACTCGGTCATTAGAAATATCGGATAGGGCGGAGACAGCGTGACAGCTTATCGTGAGGCAAAATTGAGAGCTGCAGAGAAAGATCTCACAGGTACTTTGTCCGGCGAGTCGGGTATCTACCTAGGTAGTTGTCTGGCCCTGCACCTGCACCTGCTCATAAATCCCTCCCACCTCTTGAAAAGATAGATGGACTGTCAGCGCAACGGGCGTAAGGCAAAGGATGAGTAAGGTACGGTGCTGCTTGTTCCAAGAGAGTTTCTCGCGGAGGAGATGGTGGAAGTGCAGCGTCACCAGGCGCGTTGGTGATATCGGGTAAGCATAACGAGTCAACGAAGAGCTGATAAGAAGAGAGGTGCTGATAGACAATATCATGTCATAGATGCAGGTTGGGATGGATTCTAGATCGAGGCAGAGGAGGCGAGAGAAGTGAAGAGGTGTGTTGAGCTATCGGCTTACAAGGCCAATAGATAGTTAGTCAACGAGATTGTCGCGTGGCATTCCTTACAAGGGGCACTTTTTGAGGTGTTTGGGATTGTTGCAGTTGCTGATGGTGCTGATGATGGTGCTGATACCTTTACTGCCTTTAGTGACAATCTGCCCCATACATTGGCGATAATTGTCTCTAGTGGTCAACAGCAGATTTAGGCTCGCCTACCAAGAGTCTCTTTAGGCTTTAGCTACCCACGGAGACGCCCACTGTTGGACCCTGTATTACTCGCCAAGTACCTAGGCACAGGTCGGTGGCCCGTTCCTCCACAAGTTGCCCCCTCCTCTCGTGCCCAGTAGCGGCCTCTTGCCCCCCTCTGGTGCCCCTCTCCGACCTGGTCTTATCTTTTCCTCACCCTTCGCCAGCCATTCAGCTCTCTCATCAAAATCTCTCCATGCGATACTATACCCGTATGAACCTGCCACTCCTCGTCATGGGCCACGCTGGGCTCTGGAGAAAGACTCCACCCTGCCGATAACCAGCGTCAAGTTTCCCGATTAAGGCTTAGCTGCTGCTTCTCAGAGGCCAATTCATGTCCACCGCCTCACGGCCCCTGCGCAATTTCGCCCGCTGTGACAGGCTCGCCTGGCTTCGCTCTGCTTTTTTTCTGTTCTCCCAGCTCGCGATGGGATGCATGACTTGATTAAAAAGATCCTCGGTGGGCATTCTTGCTATGAATACGGCCTTCTTGCCTCTCAACTCCAAGTCGTCCTTTTCGTGTGCGCTTCACATCGATTCTCGCCCATATCGCTAGGTCGCTTTGCTGAGTGCATTGGTTCTTCTCGCAGTCTACACACCAAGGTCGTTCGAACACCTCCGTCTGAATCTGGTGCGGGACGTCATTGCACATGCATAAAACTTCAATCTCATCCAAATAACATACCCACGTTTCTGGCGCCATAATGAGTGCAGACCGAAATCTCAGCGTTACCTCGCAGGGAGGACACCGCAAGTCGGTTGCGGAGGAGCCTGTGACCTCTGTGCTGCCACCCGGCGAGGTGCCTATATTTGACCGAGAGTTGACTGCCGATGAGGAGGTTCTCGCCGCGCTTGGTTACGTGTATGTGCTTCTCTAAATGCTCCAGGCTCTCTGTTGCGCCGCATCGTTTCTAACATACAAACAGCCCTGAATTTAAGAGAGAATTCTCGTTATGGACGTCATTTTGCGTTTCTTTCGCCGTCCTCGGCTTGCTTCCGTCCTTCGCTTCGACTCTCTACTATGGCATGGGCTATGCCGGGACCCCTGGTATGACATGGGGTTGGCTGATTGCTATGGCTTTCATTCAATGTGTGGCCATGGGCATGGGTACGTCTCACGTTTGGCTACTGCAAAGAGACTCCTAATGTGCTACAACTAACATAACGATAGCTGAGTTGTGTTCCTCTATGCCCACCTCGGGCGGTTTGTACTACGCTGCGGCCGTGCTGGCACCCTCGGGATATGGGCCCCTGGCTGCCTGGATCACTGGTTGGTCGAATTGGCTGGTCCAAGTCACAGGCGCCCCTTCAGTCGACTATGCTTTGGCTTCGATGATTCTCGCAGCCGGTTCCATCACCAACCCAGACTACATCCCCCAGAACTACCAGGTTTTCCTCCTGACCACTCTGATCATGATTCTGCATGCGTGCATCTCATCCATGCCTACGCGCTGGATCGCCACCTTCAACTCGTATGGGAGCACGTTCAACATCATTGCCTTGGTCATTACCATAATCACCATTCCCGCGGCCACCACCCGTGGGTCCCAGGGATTGCCCCGTTTCACCAAGAGCAGCACTGTCTGGGGCAACTTCTACGAGGGGACGGACTTTCCCAATGGAGTCGCTCTGCTCATGTCGTTCATCGCCGTCATCTGGACCATGTCGGGATATGACGCCCCTTTCCATCTTGCAGAGGAGTGCAGCAATGCAAACATTGCCAGTCCTCGGGCCATCGTTCTGACCTCTGGCGTTGGCGGCATTATGGGCTGGTTCCTGCAATTGGTCGTGGCTTATACCGTGATCGATATTGACGACGTCCTCGATTCGGATATCGGCCAACCTTGGGCCACCTACCTCGTGCAAATCCTACCGAAGAACACTGCTCTGGCTCTGCTCTCAATGACCATCATCTGCGGCTTCTCCATGGGCCAGGGTTGTATGGTCGCCGCATCACGGGTCACTTTCGCATACGCCCGTGATAACTGCTTCCCTTACTCCAATCTGTGGAAGCAAGTCAACCCAATCACCAAAACTCCAGTCAATGCCGTCTGGTTGAACTGCGTTGTGGGAATTCTTCTGACGCTCCTCCTTTTTGGAGGTGAGGCGTCTATCGGGGCTATTTTCAGTGTCGGCGCCATTGCCGCATTTGTCGCCTTTACCATTCCCATCACGATCCGGACTTTCTTCGTGGGCAACCGGTTCCGTCGCGGTCCATGGCACCTGGGCAAATACTCGTATCCCATCGGTGTGGCATCAACATGCTTCACCTTGCTGATGATCCCTATTCTCTGCTTGCCCAGCGTGACAGGATCGGATCTGGACGCCTCACTCATGAACTGGACCTGTTTGGTGTGGGGTGGGCCGATGCTGTTTATCTTGATCTGGTGGGTCGTGGACGCCCACAAGTGGTTCACAGGACCAAAGGTGAACATTCAACATATGATGCTTGGACAAGACCAAAACGTTATCGACGGGAAGGAAGGGTCCGACTCGGGCAGTGGAATCTCGCCAGCCCCGGTCTCAGACATGGACAAGGCAATCCTGAACAAAGTGTGAGGTGATGTCGGAGCAAAAGCACGCAGGATGATTGGATTTCAAGCGACATGAGCACTGTTGGTCTTTTGGTTTTGTGCGTGGAGAGTGTATGTATACCCCAGGAATGCCCACCTCGGCGACTCTTCGTATTTAGTGTAATTTGGATGATGAACACTATGGACAAGTTTGATCAATTTCTTCGTCAAACGTAAGTTGCACTTTACCTACGGAGGCGGATGGAGCTGAAGTCGCTACTTGTATGGAAGGGGGGAGAGAAGGAATTGGAGCTATGGCTGTGAAGGAGACGTCTGAGACACTCTTCCGATTGGAGTTGAGCTCTTGTGATAAAATTGTCAGGACTCGTAGTCAGATTGTAGCTGATACGAGCAACTCGTGATTATGTACCCGGGTCAGGAAGGGCACATGCATTGCGTTACCTTGATCTCTTCCTCTGCTCGATGGACCGAGTACATCCTTGAATGTAAGTCGCCTTTACCTGGCGTGCATGGGTGCTCGATGTATCCATCCGGGGGATTTCCGCTTGATGGATCTGCGACTTGTACCTCGTACGAGTGTGACTTATGCATGGATCAGCGCTATCATCCACCACAGAAGCAGCTCGATTACAATCAGACAGCGGAACGACTCATTCTTAGTTACATCCCTCGGCACAAGCCTTCCAAGGTATGAGGTGCTACAGTCACTTCACCTGCTCCAAAGGGCAATGATTGTCCCCCAAATATCCACCCTTCCCCCACAAACCACCAGGATGAAGCTTTATCAAGCCTTTTGGTAGTGCTGGTCAAGCACCTGTGGCTCCCCCTTGGACGAGGCGCTATCCGCGGACCTTAAAACCAAATGCAACCTTCCTATCTCGCTGCAGCCTTCTGGCTCGAGTGCGTCATGCGACACCTTGCCCCCCGGGTGATGGGTATGAAGATCTACCTTGCAAGGTAGCAGGGTAGCTCGAGCTAAGGTACCTGCGGCTTGACATGTCTGCCATAAATACTCTGCTTGGTCGCGGTCTCCACGCCTCTGCTGTTTGGCATCTTCTGCCTGGTCTTACAAGCAAGTGGACACCATGCATTTCTCTGGCCTTTTGATCGCGTCGCTGGTGGCTGGCGCCCTTGCGCAGTCTGTGTCGAACCCACACAAGTTGGCAGCTCAGAGGTTGGCTCAGAGAGCTCCAGCTCCGGCGCCACCACGAGAACGCCGGTCTGTGCCCTCGCTCAGGAAGAGACAGCAGCCGAGCTTCTTGACGCCTCAGACCCAGAGTGAGTCGGCCAGATCTCGAGATTTCAGACGTGAGCCCCAAATGGGAACTGACAAAGACCAGAGTTCGCCGTCAATGGTACCGGCGTGCCACTGGTTGACTTTGATATTGGCGAGTCTTATGCGGGCACGCTCTCTATCGATGGAAACAGCTCAAACCAGAACCAACTGTTCTTTTGGTTCTTCCCCTCCGATAACCCTGCGGCTTCGGACGAGATCACCATCTGGTTGAACGGCGGGCCTGGATGCAGCTCGCTTGACGGGCTTCTGCAAGAACATGGCCCGTTCCTGTGGCAGAGCGGGACCTACGCTCCCTTGCCAAACCCGTTCTCCTTTACGAACCTGACCAACATGGTCTACGTTGACCAGCCTATTGGCACGGGTTTCTCGCCTGCTGCGCCGGGAGCCCCAGCAAAGATCAACAACGAGGTTGATGTTGGCAGACAATTTGCCGGCTTCTGGAAAAACTTTATGACCACCTTCAACCTGACGGGACGCAAGGTCTATCTCACTGGCGAGTCGTATGCTGGGCAGTACATTCCGTACATCGCCAGCTATATGATTGATCAGAACAACACCGATTTCTACAACGTTGCTGGCATCCAAATCAACGACCCCAGTATTGGACTCAACTCTGTGCTCAACGAAGGTAAGCCTCAAGTTTCCCGGATACCAGACTTGGTCATTTTGGCTGATCTAAAGAGCACAGTGCCTGCCGTCACCCACATGAACAATTATGCCAATGTCTTCGCCCTCAATGACTCTTTTGTGGCTGCCATAAACAAGCGCGCCGAGGATTGCGGCTATATCGAGTACATGGAAAATGCATTGACCTTCCCACCCAAGGGCAAGTTTATGGAGCCGGTGAATGCATCAAACCCAGGTAGGTGGCTCTCGCGGATCATTTAGCTGGCGCTGACCTTGGCTGCCACAGATTGTTTCATCTGGGAAGACATCCTGTTTGCCGAACTCTACGTGAACCCTTGTTTCAACTTCTATCACTTGACAGGTAAGACGGGGCTCTTTTGACGTCTCCTTGAACATGGTGGCCTACGAAAAGAACATCAAAGTAACAATGTGTGACTCTTCTGACAGACTACTGCCCGTTCCTGAATGACGAGCTGGGCTTCCCATCTCTCGGCAACGGACCAAACAACTACTTCAACCGCAGCGACGTCCAAACTGCTATTCACGCCCCGCCTACCGACTACGTGATCTGCGGCGACGACACTCTATTCCCCAAAGGCGACCAATCCGACCCATCGTCCTTCACCGCCCTTCCTCACGTTATCGAACACACCAACAATGTCATCGTCGGCAGCGGCCTTTTGGACTACCTGCTCATGACCAACGGCACGCTGATGACCCTGAACAACATGACCTGGAACGGCGCCCAGGGCTTCTCCAAGAGACCCTCTGACAAGTTCTTTGTGCCATACAACCCCTCGATTGGGTTCGTGATTCAAGAGACGACCAACCAGCCCATCCCCGCCACACCTGTGGGATTGGTCGGCGGTGGTGGGTTCATGGGTACCACGCACACCGAGAGAGGATTGACCTGGGTGACGGTCGACATGGCGGGTCATGAGATTCCCCAATATGTCCCAGGCGCCGCGTACAGACAGCTCGAGTTTTTGCTGGGTAGGATCAAGAGCCTGACCCAGATGGGTGACTTTACCACGCAGACTGGTAACTTTACTGGCACTACTCCATTGTAGCTGGCTGAGTCGCAGGGTGAGAGATTGTACCAATGAGCTTGGTAGAATTAGATAACATCGACATATCATCTAGTAATGACAAGTTATCACACCCATAACGCAGGCACCCAAGTTGCACCAGGCAGTCGGCTAAGGAGGTGGCATGGCCAAGCATGGCCTAACTTTGCTGCATCCCCAAAACTCGTGACCGCGCGTCATCACGACGCGTATCGTTCGTTCCCAATGCCACATTCCCCACCAGACGGCGGGATGGGAGATCTGGACTTAATGAATCTCGCCCGGTGTTGTCTTCTTTTCTCTGTCACTTTCTCATCCGGGAAAGGCTTTTTGGAACACTCATGCCACTTGAGCGCAGGTCGCCGTCCGTACACAACCGCTTGATGGGCACTAGAATCCCTCACCCCTCATCCACCAATTTTCATGACGGCGACGACGAATTTCCCGCCCCGCCTGCGAAGCGGCTAAGAGCCACCGTATCCACCACTGGTACCACGAACCCGAAGCACGACTCTCCGGGGAAGTTGACGCAGAAGCGGAAGATCAAGGACGAGGAGATTGCAGACTCGGAAGAAGAGCGGGAAGAAAACGTCCTCTCTGAACAGGCCGACCCTCCACGGGCGACACAGTTGGAGGCTACTCTGCCACCGGTCAAGACAGACGAAGAAGCCATCGAGGCCTATGAGGCTTACAAGGCAAGTGAATACGGACATGATGACCAAGACCGCTGCGATGAAGACACGACCTTGTCAAGGCTCGAATCTCGCTCCTGGATCCGAGGACGCAGCTCGATTTACGTGGACGCCTTCAACCTCGCTCTGGACACGGTCCTCGACGAGGAAGAGCATCTCTTCGACGAAGCCGAGTTGAGGCTATTTGGTATCTGGAGAGAACTCAGCTATGAAGCGCAATACCTTTACGTGCGGCTGTTTCTACGCAAGACCAGCAAATGGTTCCGCGTCAAAGACCTGCAGTACTACAGCGATGTTGCAGACATGGAGGCGGCCGTGGCCGAGTTGCAGAAGGAAAGACCTTTACCTACCGTTGACGAGAAGCCCAGTGCCCATCCCGGTGAATTGGAACCCCCCGAAGGCACGGTTCTGGGCGAAACATTTACCTTTGCCGAATGTTCGTCAGAACACATCAAAACCTTGGATGAGGCCAGCAGTCTATTGCTTTTGGACGAATTGAAAACCCTGGCGAAGGAGGCAAAGGTGCAAGGCAAGAACAAGCGAGAACTCTTGCACAATTTCCGCCGTACCAGTGGCAGACAAGCTGGGCTGGGGTTCAAAGAACTCAGGCGCACGGAGACGCAGGAGTCGGGAAGTGCCATGTCCGAGGACAATCACTCGATATACGATGATGAGGACGAAGAGGAAAGCAGTGGGCTGAGCACACCAAACACCTCAACGAGTACGAATCGAGATGCTCACTTTACGAAGAAAATCCTCGATCGGACAGGTCGTTGCGTCCGACTTTCTCTCACCCCACTGAAGCTTTTCGAGCGGGTCCATCTTGTCTTCTACCGTAGCACGGAATGGACGGAGAAGAGCTTGACGACGTTGATTCTGGCCAAGATATCCCGTCGCAATTTCCCCGAGTATATTGTCAGTCGGTCGACCACCATTTTCGAGTCTCGTGCTCGTCTCCTCGAATTCGAAGCCAGCCTGCGCACCCAGTTTCGCGTCGACAACATCCTCGAGTTTAACGGGACACCGGGCCGAAAGGCTCTAGAGGAAGTGAAAGACATCTTTGAGGCAGTGTATCCGCGGTGGAAAGCCCTGCTGGCAGAGGAACAGAGGAAAGAGGACCGCATCTACGAGAGTGGTGAGGGTGCTTATCTGCGTCGTTTCAGCCCTGCTTGGGTATATACGCGCATTGTCCACAAGGCGCTTCAACCTCTTGCTCGGTTCAAAGAGCATCTCCGTGAGCACGAGCTGTTGAACGAGCTACTGGGACAACGACTCTTCCACGCAGCGAGGAGAGGGGCATGGTACCAACGCAGAGCACTGTTGGAAGAACACTACATGCACGCTCTCATGCCTGACGAAGGTCGATCATTCGAGGCCAATAAAAAGCATTGGAAGCGCATCGCTCTGAAGACTTGCGAGCTGGGTCTTCAAGACAAAGAATGCCATGTCATCTACCACTACGACTTGCAGAAGCGGGTTAAGAAATTGGAAAAGCAATTGCGTGTGCCCCTTCGAGAACAGCACGACTTTGGGCATGTGAAGCTCGGGAAAGCTGTGGAGAGGGATGTCGTGGGCATCAAAATCGAGCAAGGCCGCGAGGACACACCGTCACGCACTGTCGCTCTCAGTAGGAAGAACAGCGTCAATACGGCCGTGGAGAGCGATGCAGCAGCCACCGACAGCACCAAACGCGCCTCTCTCTCCAATCAGCAAAGCAATCCAGCTCTGGGAGGCAAGACAGTCTGGCTTGACCACTTGGACACCAACCTCCCTGTGTCAGTTGAATCGATGTGTCTCTCCCACTATCGCCACGTACTGGGCTACAAAGGCTACCACTCCGAGGGGGGCATCCTCCGGACCATCTTCGGCCTTTTGTTTTACGACATCCTCTTCTTCAACCCGTACATCCCCAATGTCTTTCAAACGTCCTACCAGACCTGTCCGCTCGATCTCCACACGGACAGTTTCTTCTCGGCCCGCATACCCGAGATTTTGGCGAGGATCAATCAGATCTCCAACGGCGAGGCCGTGGACATTGTCCGGCGGGTGTGGGACCAAGAGTACGAGAGACGCACGTGCATCGTCGGCGTGAGGTGGGACGAGTTTGAAAAGGACGACCTCTTGGAGTTGGTGGGTTGTTGGGAGGGCCAGGCGCTGGGTACCGTCATGCTGGTCATGGCACAGGAGTATCAGAGCCGGGGCGGTGGCGTGCCGGACCTGGTGCTATGGAAGGTTCACGAGGGGGTTGATCAGGGACGTACTCACGATGATGCTCATGCCCATACCCATACTCAGGCCGACCAACCCGGACGACAAGCCAAGGGCCAAATCCTCTTCGCCGAAGTCAAGTCCGCCAACGACCGGCTCAGCGACACGCAGAGGCTCTGGATCAGCGTCCTGCTCTCGGCCGGGGTCGAGGTTGAGCTGTGCCACGCCGTTGCCGGCGAGATCAGGTCGGTGTAAACCATTCACCCACGCTCAAATCAATCAATCAATCAGCCAACCAGCCAAGTCAAGCCAACCCAACAGGTAGATAGGATGGAGAACTATATCTACATCTATACCTCGTACATCCGTCCGTCTATCTCGATTTCCAAGGGTCAAGGCACGTACGTACGTACGTGCGTACATAGCGTACATACACCCATCGAGATGTATATCTATGAGATGTTGATGTACACGACATGTCGCGAATAGAGCCATTCTCCGTTCCTTCTCCTACGGACTCGAGACTTCAAGACTCTGTCTTCAGTCTCCAGTCTTCAGTTTTCAGTCTTCGGTCTTCAGTCCCCGTTACAGATCTACCGAGTACAGTTCAGTACAGTACTTGCACTTGTATTATTATTATTATTGTTCTTGGATCATGGATCTTGGATCATCTCTGTTCCTCCTTTCTCTTCCTCTCTCTATTCCTCTCTACCCCACTCTTCCTCTATCTCTCTCTTTCTATCGACTCGAATTAGAGCTCCTGGGCTCCAAAAACGTCTTTCTCTGTCTTTCTCCTCCTTCTAGTCTAATCTATTCTAGTCCGGTCCGGTCTGATCTCGTCTGATCTGATCTGGTCGGTCTGGTCTGGTCTGGTCTGGTCTAGCTTGTTGTACATGGAACAAGTACAGTCACAGTCTATTATCCCCCCCCCCCCCCCCCCATACCC